GACGCCCGCGATTTCAACGTGGCTACGACGCCAACCGCCAGGAAAGGTAAAATCACGTGCTGGGTGTGGCCAAAACTGGGATCTGTCACCCGGACCTCCCTTTTGGGGACACGTCTTCTTGCGGCCACCAGTCGCCAAAAGTTCTATATAGCCATAAAGAATTTTTACTGAGAATTATTCCATTTCTTGCAAGAAATCCTGCAGGTATATGAAACAAGTAGGCATCGAGATGTCATTTATAGACGAAGGGCAGATGCTACGTGGAAAGCATGGAAACCCGTCTGAGCTCTTGGGAGGCCGTGTCCGGGCCTCCGCTTGCCCTGCTCGTGTTAGACCCAGACCAGCCTCGGAGAGAACAGGCTTTTTCCTCTACATTATAGGAGACGGTTCTCCTCCCGCGCCCCCCATTACGATGTCATGCTCTTCCGTAACACATCACAGGGAAAACTGTTGAACACTGTATTTCACTCCAAACTCGCGATGACATCACTATGTTCGTCATTCATTTTCTTAAGAATATAGGCTTTTCGTAAGATAATGCCTTTGAAAAGAAAAACACCAACCAAGACGGAAGGCTTTGCAATAGTCATTGTTGTAGCCAGTAGGTCTGCTGGAGAGCGAGTTTGTCTTTAAAACAGAGGATTCTCCTGATCTTCGCCATGGAGGAAGGTTCGGGATAGTGTGTTCCACTCAGTCTGCAACGGGCTCTAAGCATTTGGCCTGGACTGAAGACTGCCCTCTGGCCTCGGCTTCCACATTCACCAAAGGGGAGGCGTTGACGCTTGAGCCCATAAGATCTCTTCTGTTTCTAAGTATCTAGGAGTCTGCCAGACTGCACCACTGGCCCAAGTCTCCTATCCTAACTCTTTTTCTCTCAAAATCGGTAATAGAGAGAATGTTGGTATAACAGATATCCACGGCACAATGTTGGGTAAGAGGACAGATCAGACTGCCTGTGTTTTGCAGTCCTGATTTTTCCATTTATGAGCTGTGACCTTAGGCGAGTTACTTAAACTTTGTCTCGGTTTCTTTATTTGTAAAAATGAGATGATGACGATCACGCCTCCCTCACAGGATTTCCGGGAGGATTAAATTAGTTACAGTACGTGAACCATGTAGAACAATGCCCAGCACATAGCAAACACTGTATAAATGTCAGCTGCCACCATCACCTCTTATTCAGTGTCCCGTCTTCACGACGCTTCACAGGAGGTGCTACTAGCATTGTCTGCATTTTACAGGAGCAAGATCTCAAGCATAGAGGTATTAAATGGCTCATTTAAGTCATTCAGACACAAAACGTTGTCATCTGGGTTCAAAGCAGAATTGTTTGATTGTTAACCATGAAATGACACTGCTGTCCCATTTTATCTGGAAGAATAGTTTCATTTCTGATTTCTTTGAGTTCTCAAGAATAATAATAATAAAAATTAAGCTTAGCGTGTATAAAGCAGGTCAATGGGCAAGCGCGGAAGGACAGCCCAACAGAAGCGAGAAAGGAGTTAAAAAGAGGGAAAACGAGTCCCTTCGGAATTAAAATGGAATTAGCGGTCACAAGAGAAATGGTCATTACAGAAAACTGAATCAGCGACCTAGAGCCAAGGTTTGGAACAGTCGCGGAAAACGCGGAGGGGCAAATAGCGGATCGAAAGGCGATGGGCGTGAAGGAAAGAAGGAAACGGAGACTGTGTGGGGATAAATAAAACACTTAACTGAGCATCCAGTTCGCCGAGTCCACAACGCCAGGGAACGCACGTGTGAAGACGAAGATGGAGACTCCACGCAAGCTCCCAGCACGAAGGAAAGCGAAGCGAAAAATGCAAGCGCCGATGCTTTGCTGAAGAGGGCGTCGTTCGCAGCGAAAAAACACGATTCGCTCACCAGATGGATCAGGGAGACAGGTTAACGCGAGTCATCCTGGGGGGCGGGGGGGGGGGCATTTAAATGTATGAGGTGCGAACTGTGGGTAAAGTCAATAAACCTCATGATTTTCTATAACCATGTAATTTATAAATTTGAATTAGGAAAAATCGTAGATGTCAAAAATAACGTGTAAAAAGTGGAGAAAGTTGTCAAAAAGTTGTTATGCCTTTTAAAACAGAATCCTACTAGTTCAACTAAAAAAGTTAAGATTTTCCAGAGGCAGAACATGCCTGTTTCTTCTGCACAGGAAATCCAAACCGTTTACGTGGACAACAGCCTGAGAAGCTGGAGCATAGCCCCTCGCTCCCTAAGTGTGGGGGCAAGTGCGGGGGCAGCGTGGGAAGCCACGAAGGCCCAGGAACTTCACGTGGCAAACCTGACAAAGCCACCTGGCTTGGGGACAGAGGCCAGTCGCAGCGTGACTGATCGTGGACAGCGTGCGGACAGCGGCCACTTACCTCTGTGGTCTTCCTCGCAAACACACGTGGCCTCCGTCTCATCCTGAGGAAAATGCCGGAGGAATCCCGGGGGAGCACCCTCTAAAATACGTGGTACTCTTCAAAATTGTCAAAGCCATCGCATCCAAAAATGTCTGAGGCGCTGTCACGGAACCCCAAGGCTATGGGACTATTAAGAGGATTGCGGTACCCCACGTGGGATTCTGGGACGGAAAGAAGCCATCAGGTGAACATGTCGGAATAAAGGATGGACTTTAGCTAACGATCGGCGCAGTCTATCGGTTGTGACACATGTATTCCATGAGCGTTGACCCGAAAGACTATGTCTGCCAAGAAGGATGCCTTGTGGCCATTTGGGCCCCGCCACAGCCACGACCCAGCAGCGACTGTCTGCAGTGGCCTCTCACGTACACTGCCTTCCCGGGACGAGAGCAGGTGGACACCAGCTGCCTGCCCCCCGCCCTGCGGCTGGGCTGACCCCTAGGGAGAGCACCCAGGACCAAAATTCAACCAGTGGGACCCAGGATTTCCCCGTCCAATCAGAGCTGCGCTGTGTGCTCATCTGCATGTTCATTCTGACCAGTTAGGGTGGTGCTACGTAGACCAATCAGACTGCAGGTTTGGAGTCCTCATTTGCATAGGAGTGGACCAGTCAGGGACGGGGTGAGCACCCCTCTCCGCATGGCTGGCTTCCCGCTGCCCACGGAAGCACGATCTCGGTTCAAAGATCACCACCTAATAGTGATCTTCTGTGGGCGAAGCTGCGGCCCCAGGCCCACGTCACCGGAGTCGCCCCCTGAGCTGCTCGGACTGAGCTCACTCCCCGCTTCGCTGCCCCCCAGGTTGGGGGCAGCTGTCGGAGCTGAATTCTCAAGACGTTAATAGAAGGGAGATGGTGCGGAACACATAGGAACTCAGTTCTGTGAGTCTAAAATTGTCCTAACAAGGGCATTAAGAGAAAGCTGTGTACCTAAAATGGTTTAGATCACAGATAGAGATGGAAAGCTTGAAAGTCTCTTCCTCTACTAGCTGCCGTTCGCAAACGACACGTTAGGCTCCATCACGCATGCCGATGAAACACTAACTAGGGCGCCAGCAAAGAAATCGAGCGTTTTCTGCACAGCAGCCTAGCAGAAGGGATCCTTCCGAGAACGTAAGGGCGGTGAGATGTTGGTAACGATAATTATAACGAAACACCTTGAGACCTGCCCCTTCATGGCGCTTTACAGTTGAGACAGGCCACAGGGAGCTCAGTAACTTGCCGAGGACACACCCGGCCTTTGAGCCGATCCAGGCGTCTGACTCTGGGATGAAAACACCCTTTGCAAAATGCACGCCATCTCAGTTAAAACAAAAACGTAGGGATAGACTAGCTTAATGCAGCAAAAGCACAGGGCCCCCCAACAACCAGCAGTGCGCCCTAAGGTGTCACAGGAGAGCGTTCTCGGTAGATTCGGGTGCTGGCGGCCACGCCCTTCCTGCCCTGCCTACGTCACACTGTTGAGTGTGAATAAAATCACACGCGAGACAGACATAAATGTCACGAGCGGCGACATGAATCACCTGTTTTCCCCTTATTTGTGTATGACGTGTGTGTGTGTGTGTGGGGGGCGTTTCTTATCTAAACTCAAGGGAAAAGTGAAAACGATAGGGAAAAGGACAGTTGTGGAAACAGTAAAAGTACTTTAAAATGGCTCGTGGGGGCGTAACCGAAGAGAACTGTGACACACCACCCCGGACAGAGAAAGAGACTCGAATGGCTGGGGAGCGTCCTTGTCTTGGCTGGGAGGAGGGCGGAGGCAACGCCGCCTGCACACGACATGGAGCAAATTCCGACGGGAGCCTTTGTGCGTGGGGGGGCGTAGGGTCTCAGCTAAAGGCCCCCCAAGTCGGAACACAGCTGGGGATCTGTCTGTCAGCTCCTGGCGGTCGATGAGGGTGTCAGCGCTGTGCTGGCCCCTCGGACTGCCTTCGCCCCCTTGCAGGAGCCAGGAAACGGGGCGCCCGTGTGCCTCGAGGGCGGCGAGCACCTGTTAGCCCTGGCGTTCCCCTGCGGGGCTGTCCAGTCTAGCCTTCCAGCTGTTCGACCAGCCAGTTTTCTAAATCCACTTCTTTCTGTCCCCGTCCCAGAGCCCCACCTGGACCCCTCCACCCTGGGCTTGCTTGGCCACCGCCGCACGGTCACCCAGTCTCCGCCTGAGCAGTGGGTCTGAGGGTCATTGGCCCGGCACCCCCAGAGGTCCAGGTGGCCCCCAGACTCCTGCTCTCGCAGCAGACTGCAGTCTCCCCTCTCCCAGACTTGGGGGTGCGAGGACGCGATGTCGAGCCTCTCTGTGCCCTCTCCCCTCAGGCTTGTGCTCGGTGCGCCACGGGCTGGCCGTCCTCTTTCACCTCTGTAATATTTTGATCGGCACCCAGCAAATGAACTTGAGCATCGCCCTCCCCGCCATGGTGAACGTCACCGTGCTGCCCGGCGCCCCCCCGGACGGGCCTCCCGCCGACGCCCAGGACAGCAGCAACGACACGGCGAAGGAGCCGGAGGCGCTGGTGAGTGGGACCAGCCCGCCGACCCTTTCTCTGACTCACCTGACTTGATCCGAAGGGTCTTCCCCGAGCATCGCCTGTGCTCGGAACCGTGTGGCGTGAGCGCAGCCTACGCAGCCGAACCTCCACTTCCGTGGCCGTGACCGAGGACCATTCCGTGGCCGGGAACCTGCCCCCGCGGTGACGAAGCGCCCAGAGCACGTCCGTCCGGCAGACCTGCGTCCCCGTCTCTCTCTCCACGCGCTTCGATCACCTCGGCTCCGCGCGCCTTCCCCGGAGCTCGGAGGACTCTTCCCTCGCGTGCTCGTTCGTACGCGAGCTGCTCGGGTGCTCGCGTGGCTGGGGAAGCCGTTCGAGGAGGAAGAGGGTGTGGGCACGCGGTTAGGTTTTCCCGATGACACGGCAGACGGGGGGATGGGAGAGACGTGGGAGAAAGGACAGCCGCCTCTCGAGTCCCCCCCGAGGACGAGCCGCGGGCTCTCTCTGTCCCCAGGCGCCCGTGTACGACTGGAGCCCCGAGGCCCAGGGCTTCCTCCTCAGCGCCCTCAGCGTCGGCTCGTTCTTGGCCTCCATCCCCAGCGGCTTCGTGGTCGGAGTGTGCGGGGTCAAGTACCCGGTCGGCGTGGCCATGCTCGCCTCCTCCGTCCTGAACCTTTTCGTCCCGCTGGCGGCCGATGCCGGGGTGGCCTCGCTCTTTGCCCTTCGGACCGTGCAAGGCGTCGCCCAGGTACCGGGGGCTCCCCAGCGCGAGGGGGACGGGGCCCCGCGTGGCCGGGCAGAGCCCACGGTGGGCCTTGCTCCTCAGGTCGTGGTGTCGGTGGGTCAGTATGCGGCCTGGGTGAAGTGGGCCCCTGCGCTGGAAAAGAACCAGCTCGTCGCCATCGCGGCGTCAGGTAACCGATGCCCTGCTTGTCCCCCGGCACCACCCTCCCTGACCACAGCCGACACTTACCGTGCTCGGCGCACGTCCATTTCATCCGGAACAGCCCAGAAGCTTCTCCGGGCCACACGGCCACTGGGCGAGGCGGGATCTGAGCCCCGGGCGTCCGACGGCAGGTTGCGGCTTCCGCCGCTGTGCCACCTGCTGCCCGCGGTGGCCGGTCTGCTGGGCGTGCACAGGCCCGAGCCCCTGACCCAGGGTGCCCTCCCGACTTCTGTGCAGGCTTAATGCTGGGGACCCTGACCATCTTCCTTGTGGGTGGCTTCCTCTGCCAGACCTTGGGATGGCCTTCCGTCTTCTACGTCTTCGGTGAGCTGTGTTTCTCCAACCTCGGGATGTGGTTTCGTGACCCGGGACACTGGGCCCAGTTTCTGGGACTCAAGTCGTCTGTGGCTCACCCAATCCTGATACGTATGGATAGCTACGTAACTAAAGTTGATCGTGTCCAGAGATAATCGTGTCACGAATCCTACAAAGTGACACTCAGGTCTCGGCGGCCTGAGTGTGTAGCTGGAATGGATAACCCAGTGACATCTCCCCATGCTTCAAACTGAGCCCGAAAAGGGGCCCAGAGGAATTTCTTTTATAGATGTTGAAAGTGTTATCTTGGGGGAGATTATGTTTTTAGAGATGCTTAAGACAGTCTTTTAAATGTCTCTTATTATTACTATAACCAGAAAATTGTGGGAAAGCGACCTAATCACAGGTAAAATGCTGGCGGGGGTGGGGGACCAAGCGGCAGTGGCCGCAGCACACGGCGGACCACATGGGGCTCGGGCGTGGACACAGGACACAGAGACACACGCGGAGTGTCCGGGCTGCTGCCGCCCGGCGTGCCCATGCCCAGCCCGGGCCAGGCTCTGCCCAGCTGCTTCTCACTGGTTTGTGTTTCTTCAGTTTCGACATGTTCCCAGGAATCCCATCTGCAAGCTGACTGACCCCAGTGGGACCTGGAAGTCCGATGGTCCTCACTGCAGGGTGGGCCTCTTAGCACCGTCGAAGAGCTGCTGTGACACGAGCTCAGTGTATTCTCTAGGGAAAAAAAAACAGCATGTGGATCGACCGCGCTGGCACATCGCCCTTCGAGGGCCCTGTCGCGCGGACATCAGGGCAGCTTACGGAAGTTAGCGAGGCAGTGAGGGAGGCCGGCTGCGCCCGCCGCCCCGGGGGGTGCGTTCTGGGGGGCAGCGAGTGCTGTGCGCGGATGGGACCCCACGGAACGTCTGTGGGGTCCGCGTCAGCCTCCCACGTCCTCGATGGACAGTGCTCGTTTGCTAGTCTGTCCCTGCTACGCGATTTTAAGCTCCTTGGTGGCGAACTCGTGTCTTTGATTCCTGTTCTCGGAACGTGGCGAAATGCCTGGTCCTGGTGGCTGCTCTGTGTTTGTGGGGGGAATGTTCGAGCTCAGACCGCGAGGGAGGGAAGTTTTAAGATGAGCCACACTTCCCTCCCCGCCAGCGACGCGGAGCTGTCCGGCACGGTAGGAATGAAACCTGTCGCAGAAACGTCCCCGTTGACGTTGGACGTGACTCTGCGTCTTCGTGTCACCCGCACGCCCTGCTGCTGACGCCTCCGCCTCCGCCTCCGTGCTGGACACCGGGCGGGACGTGCACCAATGGACGGAGCTTGAGGAGCCTGACGAGTGGGGGCGGGGGGGGTGCGGACTGGTCCTCAATGCGCTGGACCCTGAACCACCCCAGCCATCGGCTGGAGCAAGTGACACGGCCGGGGCCGAAGTCGGGGGGCGGGGCGAGCGAGGGTGCAGAGAGGCGTGTCGGGCCAGCCCGCCTGCCGACCACGGGACGCCCCCAGGGCCGAGGCCGACTCAGAGGGCTCAAGTCTGGTGCCGCCGGCTTCTCTTCCAGGTGGTGTCGGCTGTGCCTGCTCCTGCCTCTGGTTCCCTCTGGTCTACGACGACCCCGCAGACCACCCGTTCATCGGTACCGGGGAGAGGGACCACATCATGCGCTCGCGGGCTCAGCAGGTGCCGTGCGACTCCCCGCCACGTCCGGGGTCTGGGTGCGTCCCCCGAGGTGAGGCGTCCCCCGATGGAGGGGACGTTGGCATCTGCTTTCTTCCAGGACTCTGCTGCAGACTGGTCTCTTCCTGTGAAGGCCATGAGCACGTCCTTGCCACTCTGGGGCATTTTAGTGTTTTATTTCAGTGAATACTGGCTCGTTTACATGAAGTTCGCGTACATGCCAACGTACCTCAGCTCTGTACTTGGACTCAGCCTCACGAATGTAAGTACGCAGAAGGCTCATCCCGCCCCGTCTGATCGAACGCTTGTCTCTCGGTGACATCCAACGATGGTCACCGGGTCAGGGGCTTAGGCCCGGGACCTCCCTGTGGGAAGCGTGAGCAGCCTCACTCGAATTCGGCCTCCTCCCAGTGTGGCCTCTGCTTACCAGAGCAGGGTGGCGTCGCTTAGGTCAGCCTGATGCTCCAAGACGGCCGTATATTTTTAGGGAGCCCATGACACTTTTATGTTCTAACCAATCGACATTTGCAGACAAGACACTCTGCCAGCCGCGTCAGCAATAGAGCATTAGCGAAACGGATTCTGCCTCTGAGCGGCCCCAGGCAGAGGAAGCACAGGCAACACATGCTGGAAGTTTGGCGCGATTTAGGTCAGAAATTCCCAAACAGGACTTAGGCCCCCAAACTCGTGGACGATCTTGTTTCGAAAAACCACTTTATTCAGTACGACACTCATAAAGACAAGTGCACGTGTCTACGGCTCTGACGGTGCACGAAACGCAGAGGTACCGACTGGCTGACGGGAGCCGTTCGCTTCGTGCCGGGCAGATGTCTCAAAGCGGCAGGGGAGCAGCGGACTCAGACTGTGAGGGACAGTTCCCGGGGCCGTTGAGTCGCTGCGACAGTCTTGCCCTTTGTACTCAAAAAAGCAGTGTTCTCATGTTGACACAGCAGCTCTGGTGAAAACATGCCCGCTGCCAACGGGGAGCTGACCTTGGCAGAGGTCAGAGTCTGGGCACGAGTGTGCGAACGGGCCAGAGGTCCTGAGATCGGAGGGCCCAAGGACAGGGAGGCTGTGGGGCCCCTGGAGGGGGTGACGAAAGCAGACCCCCCAGGCCAGGGGACCCGGGCGAGCAGGAAGCCAGCGCTGGGAGGGAGGTGCCCGCTGTGGGGCTGGCGGGCTCCCCACCCCCAGAGGACAGTGACCGAGAGGTGGAAAGGTCAAGTTGAGAGCAGATGACCCCAGCGTGGGAAGTCGGCCCTGGCCGATTCTCGTCACCGTCACGGTGTCTTCTCGGAGTCACATCCCCGTGGCTTTGCTTACGCGTCTGTCACGCGAACTCCTGGGACCGGGTGACAGTTAAATCCTTTCTTTCCTTTGCTCGGGGTTTACACAGCGACGGGCTCCTTTTCCCCATGTTTTATTTAATAGCATTTCGCTTTAAAGGCTGGAGCGACGATCATGGGGATCGACATTTAAAAAACCGTATGAAAAAGTAGCGTGAAAGGTCTTCCACTCTTCCCCGCCGCCAGCCCCAGGCGGGTTTTATTTACGGAGAGAATATTAGTCCTCCTTTCTCTCGAACTGAAGTCGACGCATGCTTCCTATATACTCAAACCGTGTTGGCCAGTTCCAGCGGCGTGGAGTTTGTGTTAAAGGTGACGTGTGTGTGAGGGAAAGCCACTGCGCAGACACGCGCCCAGGGGCCCGGCTGCGTCACGCGGGGGGCAGGCAGGCCCCTGACCACGCCTTGTCCTCAGAGCGGGTTCCTGCTGGCCCTGCTGCTGGCCGCTTCCTTCGCCAGCGCTGTGCTCGGCGGCCTCCTCGCAGACTTTCTCCTCTCCCGAGAAGTCCTCAGGCTGGTTGTCATCAGGAAGCTCCTCACGGCCGCAGGTGCGGACGGGGCGACCCGGGGCGGGTGCGGGAGCTCAGGGCGGCTCTCCGGTCACTGCGTCCGTCCTCCCGGCCCAGGCGTCCTCTTCCCGGCTGCGTCCTTCGCGTGTCTGCACTGGGCCAGATCCAGCCTCGGCGTCACCGTCGCCTTGCTGGTAGTGGGTTCTGTCACCAACAGCCTCTGCCTAATAGGAGCCCTCATCAACTTCTTGGATGGCTGCTCTGTGTTTGTGGGGGGAATGTTCGAGCTCAGACCGCGAGGGAGGGAAGTTTTAAGATGAGCCACACTTCCCTCCCCGCCAGCGACGCGGAGCTGTCCGGCACGGTAGGAATGAAACCTGTCGCAGAAACGTCCCCGTTGACGTTGGACGTGACTCTGCGTCTTCGTGTCACCCGCACGCCCTGCTGCTGACGCCTCCGCCTCCGCCTCCGTGCTGGACACCGGGCGGGACGTGCACCAATGGACGGAGCTTGAGGAGCCTGACGAGTGGGGGCGGGGGGGGTGCGGACTGGTCCTCAATGCGCTGGACCCTGAACCACCCCAGCCATCGGCTGGAGCAAGTGACACGGCCGGGGCCGAAGTCGGGGGGCGGGGCGAGCGAGGGTGCAGAGAGGCGTGTCGGGCCAGCCCGCCTGCCGACCACGGGAAGCCCCCAGGGCCGAGGCCGACTCAGAGGGCTCAAGTCTGGTGCCGCCGGCTTCTCTTCCAGGCGGCGTCGGCTGTGCCTGCTCCTGCCTCTGGTTCCCTCTGGTCTACGACGACCCCGCAGACCACCCGTTCATCGGCACCGGGGAGAGGGACCACATCATGCGCTCGCGGGCTCAGCAGGTGCCGTGCGACTCCCCGCCACGTCCGGTGTCTGGGTGCGTCCCCCGAGGTGAGGCGTCCCCCGATGGAGGGGACGTTGGCATCTGCTTTCTTCCAGGACTCTGCTGCAGACTGGTCTCTTCCTGTGAAGGCCATGAGCACGTCCCTGCCACTCTGGGGCATTTTAGTGTTTTATTTCAGTGAATACTGGCTCGTTTACATGAAGTTCGCGTACATGCCAACGTACCTCAGCTCTGTACTTGGACTCAGCCTCACGAATGTAAGTACGCAGAAGGCTCATCCCGCCCCGTCTGATCGAACGCTTGTCTCTCGGTGACATCCAACGATGGTCACCGGGTCAGGGGCTTAGGCCCGGGACCTCCCTGTGGGAAGCGTGAGCAGCCTCACTCGAATTCGGCCTCCTCCCAGTGTGGCCTCTGCTTACCAGAGCAGGGTGGCGTCGCTTAGGTCAGCCTGATGCTCCAAGACGGCCGTATATTTTTAGGGGGCCCATGACACTTTTATGTTCTAACCAATCGACATTTGCAGACAAGACACTCTGCCAGCCGTGTCAGCAATAGAGCATTAGCGAAACGGATTCTGCCTCTGAGCGGCCCCGGGCAGAGGAAGCACAGGCAACACATGCTGGAAGTTTGGCGCGATTTAGGTCAGAAATTCCCAAACAGGACTTAGGCCCCCAAACTCGTGGACGATCTTGTTTCGAAAAACCACTTTATTCAGTACGACACTCATAAAGACAAGTGCACGTGTCTACGGCTCTGACGGTGCACGAAACGCAGAGGTACCGACTGGCTGACGGGAGCCGTTCGCTTCGTGCCGGGCAGATGTCTCAAAGCGGCAGGGGAGCAGCGGACTCAGACTGTGAGGGACAGTTCCCGGGGCCGTTGAGTCGCTGCGACAGTCTTGCCCTTTGTACTCAAAAAAGCAGTGTTCTCATGTTGACACAGCAGCTCTGGTGAAAACATGCCCGCTGCCAACGGGGAGCTGACCTTGGCAGAGGTCAGAGTCTGGGCACGAGTGTGCGAACGGGCCAGAGGTCCTGAGATCGGAGGGCCCAAGGACAGGGAGGCTGTGGGGCCCCTGGAGGGGGTGACGAAAGCAGACCCCCCAGGCCAGGGGACCCGGGTGAGCAGGAAGCCAGCGCTGGGAGGGAGATTGCTGGTGTGGGGCCGGCGGGCTCCCCACCCCCAGAGGACAGTGACCGAGAGGTGGAAAGGTCAAGTTGAGAGCAGATTACCCCAGCGTGGGAAGTCGGCCCTGGCCGATTCTCGTCACCGTCACGCTGTCCTCTCGGAGTCACATCCCCGTGGTTTTGCTTACGCGTCTGTCACGCGAACTCCTGGGACCGGGTGACAGTTAAATCCTTTCTTTCCTTTGCTCGGGGTTTACACAGCGACGGGCTCCTTTTCCCCGTGTTTTATTTAATAGCATTTCGCTTTAAAGGCTGGAGCGACGATCATGGGGATCGACATTTAAAAAACCGTATGGAAAAGTAGCGTGTTTTTTTTAAGGCGACGCGTGCTTTCTATATACTCAAACCGTGTTGGCCAGTTCCAGCGGCGTGGAGTTTGTGTTAAAGGTGACGTGTGTGTGAGGGAAAGCCACTGCGCAGACACGCGCCCAGGGGCCCGGCTGCGTCACGCGGGGGGCAGGCAGGCCCCTGACCACGCCTTGTCCTCAGAGCGGGTTCCTGCTGGCCCTGCTGCTGGCCGCTTCCTTCGCCAGCGCTGTGCTCGGTGGCCTCCTCGCAGACTTTCTCCTCTCCCGAGAAGTCCTCAGACTGGTTGTCATCAGGAAGCTCCTCACGGCCGCAGGTGCGGACGGGGCGACCCGGGGCGGTGCGGGAGCTCAGGGCGGCTCTCCGGTCACTGCGTCCGTCCTCCCGGCCCAGGCGTCCTCTTCCCGGCTGCGTCCTTCGCGTGTCTGCACTGGGTCAGATCCAGCCTCGGCGTCACCGTCGCCTTGCTGGTAGTGGGTTCTGTCACCAACAGCCTCTGCCTAATAGGAGCCCTCATCAACTTCTTGGACATCGCTCCTCGGTACGTATCACCCCCACCCCCACCCCCTAGCACCTTGGCTCAGGTCCAGGGCCCTGAGCCTCCTGTTGTAACGCACGGGTCACAATGTAAGTGACGTGCGGCAGCTTCATCCGGGTAACTCCTGGAGGGGACCTGGAGCTCGTCAGCCACTGTGAACCAAGTGTTCCCAGGTGAAGGAAAAAGGAGCCAGTGGCCCCGACTCGCAGCTCAGCGGGGGAGGGGGGCTCTCGCATAGTCTCTCTGTTGGGGACACAGCGGTTACTCAGGGCTGGGTCCCAAAGGGACTAACGAAGCGCCACGGGCCCTGCTCAGGTGGGGCGTCATGAAGGTGCAGGACACGGAGCAGCAGGAACGCTGAGGCCTGGCACAGGTGAGGGTCAGAGGTGACCCAGGCTTCCGAGCGTCGCCACCGGGGTCCTCACAGCCGATGGGACACGCTCGTCTTCAGATAACGGGCCGCCAGGATACGTGGGGGTGACTTGGTCTCAGAAGGGCGGGGGCAACGTCTCATCCGAGGAGGAGTCCTCTGCCCCCCAAAGCGAGGCTGCCTGGCCGACGGCACGCGGGCGGCGACGGTCCACGTGCACGTTTTGTGGGACGATGCGGTCATGTGGCCCCTGGAAGTCTCAGGCCCGAGCGAGGACCATGGCGGTTGCCAGTCAGGCCGTCTCTGTCGCCCAGGTCTGGCCAGAGGCGGCGCAGGTCCAGGCGACTCCGGAGGCCCGACCGAGCTGCCCGTTCGCTCACCGGCGCGTCTCGCTCCCGCCCAGGTACGCCGGCTCCCTCCAGGGCTTCCTGCTCCTCTTCTCCCAGGTGTCGGGAGCCATCTCGACCACCGTCGCCGGAGCCCTCATCAGTCAGGTGAGGTCGAACGTTCCCGCGCAAACACGCGTCAGGAGAGGCCTGTCGCGGCCGCCGGGAGGAGTCAGGCCCAGGGCATCTTGGTCCCTCCTCCCCGTGACTCAGCCTGACCCCCCCGAGTCCTGAGCGCCCCCCGAGCTGTCACTCTCCGCTCACATGGGACGGTGCGGCCCGGGGAAGGGCGCCGGACGTCACGAGCTGGGGCGAATCTGGCAGCGGTCATGGCGCTTCCGCAGAGCCCGGCGTGGCCGGCCCTCCCGGTCCGCCGGACGCGAGGGGCTTCCCGGACCCGAGCCTCTCCGTGCCAAAGCCCTGGTGTTCCCGGGCACTCTGGAAAGAGTCGGTCGCCCTGTGTGGGGACCCCACACGCGCTTACAGGACGGACGAGGGAGAGGCCAGTGAGGGGGCCCTGGGCGGGCAGCCCTCTGACGGCGTCACCGCTGCGGTGTCCCCACGGCCGCCCGTCCGGGAGACGCGTCCCCGCTGTCAGAACGAACACGTCCCTCCAGTGACTTGAGCGTCCCCTCGAGATCGTCCTGCTGGCTTTTCATGAAGAAGGGAGCACTAGGCACCTACGCGGCCATCGTTCGGCTTCCGCCAGTAAGTCAGGGGAACGGAGGGACAGCAACAAGGGCGCCTCTTCCTCCTGCCATCCGGTCCCTTCTCGTCGCCGAAGCTCCAGTGAACGCCCTCGATCGGCAGCGACCACACTGCCAGGAAGCCGTGGTTTCGAGTGGACACCGTCAAGCCGGCCTCGGGCCCCTCGTCACTCACTCATCCGCCCGTCCAGTCCGCAAACGCACGCTGAGCATGGGCGGGAGCCGGCGCCTCACTGAGCGAGCGCACGGTCAGAAGGCCCCGTCCTCGCGAAGCGCACGTCACGGCAAAGAAACCGACACAGAACCGGAGGAACCAGTCAAACGTGGCAGGACAGGAGAGCGGATCAGAGAGGGGCGGGGCTTCGCTTTCACGCAGGGCGATCGAGACAGGACTCTGGAGAGCTAAGGGTTA